TTTACTCACGTTTTGCAGTGCTCCCGTGATAAAAACGACATCATAGGTAAGAAGCAGCACAGGTGTCAGTGAGTCATTCTGCTGATGGAGGTGGGGGGTGGTAGCTTCTACTGATTGAAATATAAGTCAGAGGTTGAGTCTTAAACTAACTGTGTTTTCAGCTGCTAGTGACTTGATTATATAAACTTACACTATGCAGTATCATGATGACTTTTTTTTAAGCTGGTGTTGATTAGTCCCAAAAATGCTGCAATGCAGACATGGGCGAAGACCCCACAGCTGATACACATTACAGTTAATGAGCTGCCGTGCAATCAGCAATCACAGTTACCATTTTCAAGTTAAATGAAATGAAATGAGAGGGTGAATAGTCTAAACATTTGAACTAATATACACTATATCACCATGAAATTAACCCCAGTTGAATATTTACGTATTTATTTGTATTAAATGTTCTGGTCTGTTATGTTCCAATATGCAAATAAAGTTGTCATATTAAATATGTTCTTATTTGTATACATTTCTGTTATTTGTATCTCTCCGTTACAAGCACCAAACTATGAAGTGGGTGCATAGTTTATTGTGCACTTGCACTACATAGTATTTTATTTTCTGACACATTCATTTTGAACATGTATATCTTTGTTCTCATAGTGTGTTCTGTATAATAAGTAGGCTATAGCACATATAGCTTGAGGGACACAGTGACATAATACTTAAAGCAGGTTGTGTATGTGTGTCACTACCTGTCATGTACTGATATGATATTACCACAACAAAGACAGAAATATAAACCCTAAGAGGGCGTCTGTTGTTCCAAGTGACATAAGAAGACACAGTTAGTCAGCAGTAGTGACCCACAGAGGACTCACCTGTCTCACCTGTCTCACCTCCTCCTCCCACACTTTGCTTTCTCACTCAGCTGTGTAATCCCTCTTCTGATTCTGAGTCAGTCAGCACACAGGTCTCTTCAACATCAATCATGAGTGAAATGTCCAGAAAATCAAAGTACTTGAGTAAAGCATAGCTAAAGTGTCAAAAGTCCCATTTAAAAAAGCTAACGACAAGTCTTTATTGTGTATCAATTGATCATTTCTACAATCTGGTAGATTTCACTAGAAATTTAAAACTAAGTATGATTAAATCTAAACCCCAGGTTATTACATTTATACTGATGTTTCTTTTGTTTTGTCCACTTTTTATTTCAATGAGGCTCAAAATAACACCTGTGTCATCATCACAAACTACAACCTCTATAATACATATACAATTCAATATTGTATTGCAGTACTACTGGTGTATAAGTATTCAAAATGTTTAGCCAGCTTTAACACATAAAGGTAATGCTTGATATCTCTCTTTATCAATCAATAAATCAGAAAATACTATCAAAAGCCATTTAAACAAAAACATGTTCAATATGTTTTTAGGAATAAATGTGTTATAAATCAGGCTATTAATGTAGTTTGTGTATTTATTTGCTACTGAACTCATTTGCTTTGAATATGCAAATAAGGTATTATCTTGTGATAACTTTCGGCAGATTTAGAAGACATTTTGTTAAGATGTAATAATATATTTGCCAAGACAGACATAACACGAAACACAGCAATACAGTACGGAGAGTGCTCACAATGCTAAAAAAAAAACGTACTTACTTAAGTAGGGTGAGGATTACTGTGTAAATGTATTTTATGCATGTGTTTCTATTAAACACAGAGTGTAACCATAGGAACACCTGCAGGCACACATCTTGCATCAGTACAGAGTTCACTCCTAAACATAAATATACTTTTATTGTTTTTATCTATTTAATGTTTCTTCTTTGATTGTCTACACTGAGGCCCAGAGTGAACATGGGGTCCATGCCTTGATGATTTGAGTCCTGGAATGACCTTATTCTATCCCATGAAACGTTATCCCAGCTATCCTAACATGACAGGAGGAGGCACTTTCTCCAGTGATTATATGCTCAGAAAGTCCTCCAGATTTACAAGATGAAACAGCCATCTAATTTTCGCTTTCATGAGAATAATGTGTTTTGTTGAAAGGCATGCTAAAGCTATATGTTTTTGAAGCGATGTCCATGTTGAGAAAGTGTTTCTCCAACTACCTCCCAGAGGGCCTCAACATAACTGACAGAGCCACAGAGTGCACACGGGTATCCACCTCCCCTCAACCATGCCAGCATAGACCTAAAAGTTTGATCAGTCTATTTGATTCTAGGGCTGATGTGCTCTGTGCAGTATTTTCAGTTGTATCACCCCACATTTGGACAGTGATCCTCCAAATGTTGTATTATAATAGTAGGAAAAGTGGGATGAGTGTGATATCCTGGTCTTATTCCCAAATGTTCTGGTTTGATCATTGCTATTGGATGAAAAAAGAGGATAAGCATTTTTGTTTGCAGGTTTTTAGGCTTTTTTCCAGATGTTCAAGGCAACTCATTGTTACATTTTGACAGTATTTTAGTAGTAATCGATTTTTAATGCAAATACGTGAGGAAAGATTATTTATTCTGATCAAATTTTCTGAAAATGGAATTATTCTAATGTCCTTCACAATTTGACGTAAAGTGTTTTAAGCCACTGGTTTAAAGTATGTTGATCAACGGATTACCACCTGCTGCAAATAGTGGATTTGTTCCTAGTGGACACAAAGGGAGACAAATTCCTGTGGTACCAAACCATGTTTTTTAACCACACTGACAGAACATTGTATCACTGGAACATTTAAGAGAAATCTACACAAAAACAAAATTCCAATAGTCTGAAAGAAGACAAGTTCTAGAAGCAAAACAGCTGTTGAAACATTGATTAAAGTAATCAATACCATACAAGTCATTCCTTTCAGCCCAGTTAGAATGTAGATTAATCAAAGCCTGCTGGGTATCACAGGAAAGCATAACTTAAAACATGCAAAAGCCCTGCAGCAAAGGTGACAAATAAAGTCAGCAAAGTTTACTCAACCAACAGAAGGAGTAACAAGTCACTTCCCTCGTATGTCAGTCAGAGCGCCTGCTGCCGCCTGACTCCACAGAGAGGATTTCCACTCTGAGTCTGTGTTTACCAGGGCAAACACCGAGGTCAAGATGACAACACCACTTTTGCTCGCGACTTAAAGCAAACAAAAGAGACACGTGTTGGAATTATATCGGGTAAATACTTCAGGGGAAAGTTTTCTTTCCTTTTGCTCTTGAGATTTTCTTGGACACACATCACATGCTGTAAACTATGTTACTCCAGATTTAAGTCCCTCCTGATCCTTTCTTAGACTTCCTTTCCTCCGGACATGTGTGAAACATCACAGGAAAACTCAGCAAGAAAACAGAAAAACATGAGCTCCAAGTAATCCCCCTCCCCTTTCTGATAACAATTGAATCCTGCACTGGATTTACACCCGGCTTTGTTTCCCCTGCAAATATTTTTTCTCCATCTCACAGCAAATCTTCCACAGTGAGAGGCAGGGCAGAAACGCCTCCGTACACCACTATAGAGACGGTACATTCCAGCCTTTTGTCCTCCGCTGGCTGTTCAGAGCAGCTGCTTTAAAACCGGACGCCCCTTTTTTATATCTCACCTTGTTGTTTGCTGCGGTGACAGCGAGGCCCTCACAGAGCATCACACACATTCCTCTCCCTCCTCCCTCCCCTCTTGATTACCGCCCTTTCTCTAAGGAGACGTGCACGTTGTTTAATGTCCTCAGCCCCCTGAGACAATGCCCCACTTGACCTTTGACCCCGGTAAGGAAAAGGCAGGCTTAATCTGATGTTGAGATCCTCCACTGCCATTGTATGTGGGGCAGGGGACTCAATGTGGCTCTAGACCAGAGGGGGGGGGGGGGGTCGGTCACTACATCTGCACACCAATTTGTTTGTCACACGGCCCACCCAGGGAAGATGGCGGCTTGTCTGCTGACCCTCTCTTCACCCTGCAAACTGTCACTCACCCTGCTCGTCCCTTTAACATCAGAGAGGAACGCTAATGAGTCAGTAAGCTCCTGACCACTTTATTTATATTGATCAATAGCAGGCTTAGGTGTACCTTTAACAACTAGAGGTCAACAACAGCAGTTAACACTTTCAGACACTTTTAGATGTCTGAAGGGAGTTTGACATTTTGGGAAATTTGCTCTGGTGTTGGAGAAGCGACTTTGAAAGTGTCTTTGCAAACCAATGAAATCACACTGTAAAAATACAGCAAAACTACCAAGTTTGGTTAACTAAAGTTACTTAATACGAATTTCAGACTACTTGTTGGATTAAACATTTTGAATGTACATGTGGTACACAGTTATAAGAAGATATTATATCAAGAAAGTCACATAGTAGCAAATCAGTTGAGATTATTTCAATAGCATCACTAAAAAGTGTGTGGGCTGGTCAAAGGGGGTTCCATTACAGTAGAGAAGCAATGTTTATATTGCTTCTCTAAATTATAAATAATTTATTTTCTTTTAATGTTAAAAAAGTTTGTAGTTAAGTAGTTAGTTTACTACACCAACATTTGGAAAATAAGTCATTGTATTACTTGGGTTAATATGAAACAATGTATGTTGTTTAACTACCAGAAAGCTACTGAAATTAAACTTCTAATTCAATTATATGAAGTTCACAACTAACTTAGTTGAGTTAGACAAGAGGATTATTACCCCTTTCATGTCTGAACATTGTAAATGAAGGTTATTGGTAGCTTAGCTTAGTTTAGCTTGGAGACTAAAAACAGGGTGAGACAGCTAGCATGTGTGTAAAAAGGTAGCAGGAAACCAGCAGCTCTAAAATTAAACACTTGACACCTTATGTCTTGTTAATTGAATCCCTACCAAATAAACAAGAAGTGTAAAAGCAACACGTTAAAGATTTGTGAGCCTAAAGGTTCTAAATCAAGCTAACTGGATGCTAGCTGTAGCCTCATATTTATAGATAGTATGAGACTCTCTCTTTTTCAAAATTGTTTTGCAAGTCAAGTGAAAAGCAGGACATTAAAAAACGTAGGCAATTGAGCAATTCGATAATTTATATGTAGGCTCCAGTCCACCAAATATTATGACATTATAATAATTTGGCCTGCAATCAAGTCCATGATGGGTAACATGAGGAGTAGTAACCACATCCATGGTAGGTAAGATAGAGGTAGGAATGTAGAGTAAGATTATGAACAAATCCATGACAATAAGGTATTAATGACCAAAAAAGGTAAAGATATTATTACATTCAACACTTACAAAAGATAAATTATAAACATTTTTAATTTGCCTGTTACTACACATTACAGTTCACACAGTTTCTAAGAATAGATTCATTTGGTTAAAAATATTTTACTGATTATTTTACTTTGTGTAAAAATACGTTATCAATTAATTTTCTGTTGTGATAAAGCTTGATGCATGAGAGTAAAAAGATGACACTTAATTATCCATTCATCTCACAGGCCGTCAGTATCAATCAGTATAATATATTATTTTCATAACAGTAAATAATGTAAAACAAAATATAAGGGGCTAAAATGTGCTACTTACAGTATGTTTCAGACAACATGATAGCCTAATAAAAAGTTTGCCAAACACAGATACTTTTTTTTTGTTTGGTGAATAATTATTTCCTATGTATATATACAGGAGAAACACTGATAATACAACAGTATTTCACGTCATGTCTGTGAGGAGAACATAGCTGTCACATTGCATTAACAAAACATAACCCATACGTGTTTATTTGCACCTGGACATCCAGACGTGTGACTCATGCTGTCTGGAAGTTAGAGCGGAACAAAGCAGACAATAAAAAATGAAATAACTTATTCGTAGAACATAAATTATTATTTCCAAATATTTACACATGGTACCTTTGAACATCAGTGCATCACAGACAAAATGATGTATCTCCTCAAGTAAACTGGTGAGAAACCCTGCCCCGGTTCTGCTGGAAATGTACTGACGGTGGTAAGAGTTGCTTAAAAGGACTTCAAATAACCTCCATGTTCCCTGAGTCGTAGGCCATGTCAAGTGCTGGAAATCAGTCACTCAAGACTTCATTATGGGGGAAATGGTTACACTGAAGTTCATCATTTAGTTCTTTTGGAAAGTGGCCACAAACAAGTAATCAATGTCTTGAATAAAATACTATTCTAGACGTTTCAAAAAAGAAAATAATTATTAGAACCTTTAGAGATTTTAGACATTAATGATTATATCAACAAAGATTTCATGGTTGTTTGTTCCGGCACATTGGACCAGGATTGCCTTTACGGATTTTGCAAAAAAAAAAGAACTAGAGAATTTAATACAACATATATCAAAAATGTATATTCTTGAAAATGATCATAGTACTAGCAGTCCATGACAGTTAAACATAATGCTAGAGTCCCACAAGCCAATTCATGGGTGTTAAAAGGACAAAAAGCAGCATCAATTGTTTTATATTTGCAATGTAAATAATATATTCAAGATAACAATATCATTGATCCTTAAATGGGAAATATTTAATATGTCTCTTTTTTAAAGGCATGGTTTTACATTTAAAAACAAGATGATCAATACCACTCTTAATTCTGTACGGTAAATAAAGAGCTGCATTATAGAGATGGTTAGCTTAGCTTAGCAACTGGACAAAAAATGGGAAGCTAGCCTGGCTCTCTCCAAGGTAACAGGATACGCCAACGCGTAGCTTTAAAGTAAACTAACTAATACATTATATATGTAGTTTAATGCCTGCAAAACCAAGGTGATAAAATGAGGGCTAGTTCTCCGTTTCCAGTCTGTGTGCTCAGCTAAGCTAACGAGTTGCTAGCCGTAGCTTCATATTGACATTTGAGTGGTCTCAACCATCTAAATCCCTGCAAGAAGTTGAATAAGTGTATTTGCCAATAAGTGTATTTGTATTTGGTATCACCGAAGACTCACACAACACATGTATCTTACCATATGTGCATCAATATGCAGTCACTGTGTTTAAGTGGCAAGTACACACAGAAAAAGAGTTTGAGGTATTAGACATGACCTCCTTGGGTGCATGGTTAGGAAATGCATCACTTAGTTTTTCTCATTTCAGGGGTCAGCCTGTCATCACACAGACTGTTATGCTGCCCTGACAGCCTGACCAACATGGAGGTGCAGCCTGGTCTACTACCTGCAGCCACAGGACTCCACCACCATGTCCTCGTACTGTTTGTACACCACGTTGTTTCCTGAGTCGATGTACAGGATGCTGATGGGGCTGAGTTTGGACGGGGCGCAGCAGCTGGGGGGCATGTTGCTGGGGTTCATTGAATTCATTAGAGTCTGGATGATGGCGTGGTTGGTGGGCTCCAGGTGGGAGCGCAGGGGGAAGTCACACAACCCCTCGCAGTGGTATGCTTCATAATCCAGCGGGGCGATGATCCAGTCGTCCCAGCCCAGATCTCTGAAGTTCACGTGCAGCGGTTTCTTGCTGCACCTGGATTTGGACTTCTTGCCGTGCCTCTTCCCGTGGCGGGTTTTGGAGGCGGCCGTCCTCCTTCTCCTGCTGGCCTTGGCACCGCCACCGGGGCCTCTCTCTTTGGCTTTCCTCTCCAGACCCAGCAACGCTCTCCCCCCTCTCCTCTCACTGAAGAGGGTCTGCCTCTTCCTAGACCTGGTGAACACCACCAAGATGGCTTTCTTCTGCTGTGGCCTGCCGTGCCTGTGCAGGCCCAGGAGCTGCAGGTCCAGCTCCCTCTCAGGGTTGTCCAGCGTGGCCCTGAGCTCCAGGCAGAAGTGCTTCCCCTGGCTCAGGTGCTGCTGCTCTTTGAATATTTCCCACACGTCCAACACCTCCCACTTGGGCCTTTGGGAGCCCTGCAGGTCCAGAGTTTTGGAGTTGAGCAGCCGCCGGTCGTGGCAGGAGAGGAGCTGGATGTCCACAGGCTCTGTTTCTGATATCCTGAAATTCCCAGACACTTTGGTGTATATCCTGAGCTCGGCTCCCAGCACCTCCGCCTTTTTGGAGAGTGTTGAGACGTCGAACAGATACTGCTGTCTCCTCAGTGGGGAGAGTGGGAGGTCATCTGTGGAAAGCATTAAGCAGCATGGTCAGACGCATTCTCACGGAGACGATGAGCATACCACAGAGATGTGGAATCTAAAAAAATCCTGTCTGCACTGAATGAATCTGGGATTATAAATATGAGTCCTGGGTAATCAATCAATCCTACCTAAAAACACTCATACAGTTAAACTCCACATACCTTGTCCACTGTCCACAAAACTTGCAATAGTGTTTGCAGCTTTAGAAGACCTGAAGAAACTTGCATTAAGTCCCAGTCTCTCCGCCGTGGAGAAGGTCTGGTAAATAGACATCATGTAGTCATGAGGCTCTATGGACTCTTTAGATGCTGCTTTATTGTTTCTCTCGATGGATGGCGACGCGTGGAACTCCTTAAAGTACTTTGAAGATTCCTGATCATGAAAAATCCTCGTCACCTTGCTGCTTTTCGGAGGGAAAATAGCAAGAGTTTGAAAACAGGGGATTTCCCAGACAAACAGCAGAGCCCCGCAGAGAAGAGCCAGGTGATAGAGATCCATCCTCTGGTGCTGAATCAGAGCTGTGGCCGGGGGGAGCGGGGGACCACGGGGGCTGAACTCTGCATCCACTCTGCAGCAAGTGGCGGCTCCGCACGGAGCTCCGGAGGACAGGCGGTGCGGAGGGGAAAAAAGGGGGTGAGAACACGCCTACATTGTACTGTTATCGCTCGGGCTAAATGGAGGGCGCAAATTAAGGCTGTAAAACTAATTGTTCCTCTGTCGGACGCCCCCCGCCCCCCCTCCCTGGGAGGCAGATGTGCGCTGAAAGGACGCTCGGCAACTTCTGCTGCGTTAACGGACACTCGCTTTTAGTTTCCACACGAAACCAAAATGGCTCGTCATTTGGAGTTTTTTGTCTCCATTTTAGACGTTTTTTTTTTTTACTGTGTTCAAGCAAGACTTTAAAAATACCACTGCAACTTTGCTTCAGTGGATGATGCGTTCAAGGGTTTAACACGGAGTCTCCCGCCCTCTAGCGAGGCGCAAACACATTGGCAGGAAGAGGACACGTTCAGTCTATCAGCTTCATCAGCACCATGGACAGAGTCTGCACTCAGCAGGACATTATGAAGAAAAACACACAAACAATATGAATTTGCTTATCAGTGTAAAATAGACTTTATTAGAAAGAGAATATAGTTTCAGAACAATAATCATCAAAATGAGAACTTCATGTCTTCCTTCATCTGGTTTCAGAGTTATAAGCAACAATTGTCTTAAACATAAACATCTGGATCTTACACCTGGAGTGGCATCATATAAAACAGACATTTACACATAAAACACATGTGACACAGGGGAAAGTGCTTTGCATTTCATTAGAATACATTCATTTAGCCCCATCCCAATCATTTAGTTTAACTCCTACAATTGACCACATAAGTAGAAAACCCAAGGGTGCTTTGCATTTTAATTATACAATTATAACATATATCATTTAAACCCCATCCCAATAAGTTTGTGTAATTTTTTATAAAAATGTAACACAGAAATAGAAAAAAACAGCCATGTGTGTAATATATTTAAGGATCTTTTTTTATTCAGCAGACTACCCGGTGTTAATCTGAATGTGAGGGATCCTCTCTAACATATGGGGATGCCGTCGGAGCAGCAGGCCACCGTGTAGATGACGCTGACCAGGCACAGGCTGTTGGCAGTCACCGTGGTGCTGGAGCCGAACAGGCTGTCGTCGGGGGTGGTCTTTGGGGCGTCGGTGGGGATGATGGTAGTGGACGGGGCCTGGGTGGTGGGGAGGTCTTCAACAGTGATGGCGCGTGATTCAGCGTCCCACTGCTTCAGAGTGAAGACCATGGTCAGGTTCTCACCTGCAGGGAGAGGAAGGGCAAATATTGTGGTCATTATATTATTCTTAAATAAAGCCTAACACTGAAAGACTGGGAGTATTTCTAGAATAGTGTTGAAGCTCTTTTTAATTATTTTGGCATGGAAATGAATAATTAGACACATTGGCTCAGAAGGCACTCCACAGGAGATTGGATAAGCAGACTAAAGGAAGTGTATGATTTAAGAATATCCACAGACTAAAACTATGACAAAAAAATTGGGAAAAAAGGCACCCGCTAGTTCTAAATTAAACTATATTATCGAGATATATTATCAATAGAAAATATGAGAATATAAGTTGTAGATATCTTTAAGTTTGTTTATTTAGTTGTTTTTTTTTCAAATATAAGTTTTAGGAGGTGAAGAGAGAGTCTGTAACCACAACCTATTATATAACATTATTTATGAGGCAATAGATTATTTAAATGATATTATCACATGTGTATTATCAACAAGGTGCCAATATTGGTATATCGCGACACACATGGCACCCTCTAATTAAAAATAACTTCACAGACCAATTAAAAAAACAACAACTCTAAAATCAATTTAGTGTCATAATGCAAGTCTCCTAACATATTATATGATTACAAAAATAAAAAGATATTCAATAACGATGATGTGTAACAGACAAAACTGCTTATTCTGATGTTTGAAAATGTGAAAATCAGAGAATACTTGGCATTTTCTTCTTGAAAAATTACCAAAACTTGTATCTGATTTTTAGAAGATGTTGCCAAATATTTCTCTGTCATCATTTAATTATTTCAGCTGTTTTTGCTGCAAAGCTTCATTTTTCTCAGGGGAGAATACAGTTCCTCTTACTGTCTCTCTACATTCTTATTGTTCTGGATATTATTCAAAGTGTGATGGCTGTCTTGTTATTTGTACTGTATCTATGATTGTTACAGGGCTTTTATGCTTTTTTCTTTAACAGAGATTGTAATGCGTTAGAACAGTTGAACAAAAACAACAATCCCATAGTTTCTAAGTCCATATTTCTAGCTGTTTGCAGGGTGCAGAGAGCGTGTTGCAGGCGTACCGCTGTTCTGGATGGAGAGGTCGGTGAAGTTGGCCCAGCAGGTGCTGAACAGGATGGAGGTGTTTCCCACCAGTCCGTCCACAGCGTTCCCACTGGAGTCCTTCAGGCTGGCGGTCACAGTGAGGCTGGTGACTCCCACAGAGACACAGTTACCCTGAACACAACAGCACAGGTCAGCAGACAGGAAGTGCTTCATCTAAATGTAGAATCTTCTGGTAAGTTATTTTTCTCAGTACCATCCTATTCTGGTGTAAGCTCCTGGTAATGTATATTTCTAAAGTTAGTTTGATCCACAATAAGACATTATTGTGGCTTCGAGGACATTATTTGGCACTTAAAAGTGATACAAAAATGATAAAGAGGACTAACATGTATTTTTATTATTTGGTTGACATTCAATTAATAAATAAATAAGTGTAAAAAGGCCTAGTAGGCATCCATTGAGATGCTTTTGTTTTTACAAAAACAAATAACAATCACACACAGCTTAAAGCAGTGGGACATGCTAAATTCCCAAGCTGAATAAAAATAAATGAAAAAAGTTATAAAAAGTCTGAACTGTACACTGTAGATATACAATCTTGAACATGCCGATAAGAAATGTTACTTTGTATCCGTCTAATAACCTCAAACCCTGTGAATAAGTGGAAAAAACCTGAATGTTTTTTAATAGTTAGTATTGTTAGGCGTTCAACTTATAATGAAGAGGAAATACAAAATGTCTCCTATCTCGATTAACATCAAGATGGCTCATGGTACCTGTCTTCACGCAGTACAACAGAATGATAATAACTTTGCAGTGAGGAGTGATGTTTGCCTCACCAGCTCGTCCACAGCCATGAGACTGGGCTGCTGGTGCAGGGGTCCCACAAACTCCCCGGTGAGGGGCTCCTCCACCAGCAGCAGGTCGCTGACGCTGGACACGTAGCTCACGGGGGCCTCCTCCCTCGTCACCTCCTCTTCGGCCGCCTGACATTTAAAACACAAAACCAGTGAGCTCTCGTGTAAAACTGATTTATTCTGTGTCGTTTTTACTCTGAAGATGTGGATTTATTCTACAAATGTAGTTCTTATTCTGAAGATGTAGTTATTAATTCTACAAATGTATTTCCTCAAATGTAGTTTATATTTGTTTTGTCATTTACCTCCTTCCAAGTGGGGTCAGAGGCTGGTGGGGGGGGTGGGATGACGCCCATGGAGGACACGTTGAAGCCGATGGAGCTACCGAGGTTTCCGGAAACCGCTGCCTGACCCAGATCATCAGCGATGCTCTTCAACAGCGTGAAGTCCTGCTCATCTGAGAAGACAAAAGGAACAGACAGATGTTACAGGAATCCTGATCAACAATCACATATCAGACATGAAAACAAACATCAGAAAAGAGCGCTCCACTAACCGTCGGTGGTGTTGGAGGTTTGCTGTACGGGAGGCTTCTTGATCTCCAGCTCCACCTTCAGGCCGGTGGACCTCTTCCTGCGCCGGGCGCCTCCGTCCTCCCGGATGATGTTGGTGATGCGGATCATGTTTGCGGGAACTTTGAGGAATATAGCGAGGTTCTTAATCAGGTCGTCTCCGAAAAACTCGGCCTCCGTCATGGCGGGCAGATCGAAGGAGATGACGAGGACGGGGGCGGTGCGGATCTCCACCGGCTGGGAGCCCTTCACCACCACCTTCAGCATCTTGTTCTCCCGGTCGAAGTAGTTGTTGCCGTCAGTGCCATTCAGCGAAGGGATGTATTGACCTTGAAGGAAAGAAAATGTGTTAAACTTTAACCAAATATTTCTTTACCACACACATCCAAGACATGGTAAACATTGATTATCATCTTATTGTCCCTTTAAATGTAAAAGATTCTCCATCAAAGGAGGAAATACAAAAATAATTGGATCGTCAGGATTTAATGAAACGCAAAAAATGCTTGGTATCTTTAAAAATGTTTGAAATACGGTTTTTTGTAGATTATATAGTAAATGTTCCTTAAAAGTGTTTCTTTTTAAAATGACAGGAATGTTTTCATAAAAATAAATAATAAGACAAATGTAAGTGCTGGTGCATTCTGGTGCTTTTGGAAAAACAGGGAAAAAAGTTATCATCAAAAACTAGTAGCAGTTTTGTAGTTTATTATCATATCCCTGATATGTATTTATTGCCAGGAGTTAAATATTGAATTTTCTGACTGAGTTTGAGACACAAACAAACGAGCAACTTAATCAAAACGAAAAAGACAGAAACACTATGTTGACACAGCTCCACACTATGCGTTTTGAACATCCTTTATACTGTATAATGTTTGTTTTATTGTCTGTATTGACCTACTGTCAGATTATCTGCGTGTGTGTAAAGTGTGAGTACCTGGTGTGAGGGGCTTCTTCAGGGTGTAGTCAGTGTTATCATCGTTCCACTTAGCGTTAGTTGGAGGAACCAGTTTATTATTGACGTACACATCCAACCGCTGCGGCTTGGAGTAGAAGATTGACACCATAACGCTCTGCAAAAAAGACGTTTTAGTAAAAAAAGAACATGTTACCCTTGCCCATGGAGGAGAATTGTAAGTGAGCAGTGTTAGTCTTCTCCCTGCTGGGCACTGACCTCAGACGGTTTAGCTTGGAGCATCATGAGGCGGAGTTTCTGAGGGCTGACGCTGGTGAAGAAGACGTCGAAGGAGTGTCCGGTGGCGATGATGGTGTGGAAGAGAGAGACCCTCTTCTGGCAGGTGTAGC